CTGGCCAGTCAACCCCGCCTAAAGAAGACGATTTAGTTTTTGTAAAAAGCGTCCTCTCTCACCCCTTGTCATGGCCTGTAAGCCAAATAGTTAAATTGCTTCCTGGACGGGACAAAATTCCTCGTGTGGCTGTTGTCCGAACCGCTTCAGGGACATACCCGCTCGTTAGTTGGTCTCGTCCCGCTACCAAGCGTTCTTAAGGAATAATATCCCTTCTCTCAGTACATGTAAATATTGTATATAGAACTTGGTGATGGAAAATTGTTATAATTTTGGTGGGCGGTATGTTCGCGCCAAAAATCGCGAATTATAATTGTTTATTTTGTTTCCGAAATTCCGCTAATCTAGAATTTATCCTAGCTCTGTTCCCTCCCCACAATCCTGTCCTGTTGCTGCCTAGTCCTGCTCTAGTCCTGTTTGCTTCCGTCTCGCTTCCATACAGACCACTATTAATTAGCCTCCAAGAGTGATTTTCTTTTAGTTTTCTTTCAGTTTTTCTCTTATTTTCAAGAAGCATTTTTTTCGTTTTGTTAATTATCGCGTTCAAAATAACGCGAGTGTCTCCTCCCGCATCATTAATGCGACACATCATACAGGGTTCGGACGGAGCCCCGAAGGTAATTTACAGACTAGGATTCTGTTTTACCTTTGGCCAGAGTTATTGCAGGTTCTAGTTATTAAACGGCTCTCCTCCCTGGTTGTCGAGAAAATCAAGCCACAGTTAACAAGTTAGTATTTTATTTTATTTGTATTTCATTTTATTTTGTATTTTTATTTTATTTAATTTTATTTTTATTGCGACCGACCAGCGCGTGCACATAAAATTTGGTCTTGCCGAATCTGTATCACTTAATATTATCGCCTAAACCAATTGAAACTTAAAAATGGTACAATGGTACAACTTAAAAGAAATCAAACCACCGCAACATTAGAAATAAGCTCTACAGAAAAATCAAACAAAAGTGGTAGATTTTACCTGTGTTTTACTTACTTCTAATATTTTAAAATGACCAAATATTGTTGTAAGATAATCTATGTAGGATTGTCTAAGAAATAATTAAAAATATTTAGGGTGCCACTTTTTTGCCTGTCAGTATAACTAGATTTTTTAAAATTTATTAATCTGTATAATATAAATATTATTGGAAAAACTTTCTTTGTTTAAGATAATTCTAAGATAAATTCACAAAGTGAAATCTTTAAAAATATTTGCCTAAAAAATTGAAAACAATTGGCCAATCTAGAAAGGGGTGGAACAATGAAAACAATAAACTTAAAAAAATTTTCTGTTGTCGAAAAAGGAGAGTGACCTTCTGAAACATTTTAAATATTTAACGTGGCAATTAGCCGACTCCCCGAATTCTAAATATTCGTGGGAAATGAAATCGCAAATTTAAAGTAATCATTTATAACGTGAGTTGATCTAGGTCACACGTTGAGAAGAAAATTTAATTTAATAATATTGAATTTGTAAATGATAGAAAAATACGAAGAATACAAAAATTCGTTAAGTATAAAGTTTCTGTAACCTCCAGGAGTGGAATCTTTAATTTAAAAAATCTTTGTAATACTGAGGACATCAATAGACAACTTTGTCATTTCATGTTCATCGATAATAACTTACAACAAGGTACTTAATAAATAACAAAATGGTTGAAATATCACAAAATGTTGTTCTTAATTGACCGAATTTTCCGTGTTCTCTCCATATCGATGCTTAGGCGTCAGGCTCGTTATAAAGGATAAATTATCAAGGACCCCAATTCATTTACATATAAAGTGACAAGATAACGATCCATTTCTTGCAAGAAACTTGAAAAGCGGCTTCTGAATAATTACACTGCTTCGTCAGCGATAATGTCGGAACCCAAATGAGCCTCAATTAACCACTTCTGGAAGCAGAATGAAGTAGAACCTATTGGGGCGCTTTGAAGGAGGTTTAACATTATCAAACGAGTTGTGTGTCGATCAAATAAATCAGAACTTTTTTATTAGAAATATTTTGAATTTATATATATGTAATTTCTCTCTAATTTCTTTCTGTACATTCTCTAAATTTTACATAGACATTCTCTTTTATTGATGGGTCATATAATTTGAATTGTTTAATAAAAATAAAATAAAATTGTATGTAATGTGTGGTGATTAGTGACCGTTAATCGATAATTATTCAGAAATCGTGAGATGCGGTCTGGTGTGATGTAGGTTTCAGAAAAAGATTTTCTTTATTGTGCCAACGTTTCAACCTTTATTGAGATCATCTTCAGGGCTCAAAGTGTTTGTCTTCTGTGTAATTGTGCCATTCTTGCATGTCGTGTTGAGAGTGCCCCACGTAACGTTGGCACGATAAAGAAAATGTTTTTCTGAAACCTACATCACACCAGACCGCATCTCACGATTTCTGAATAAATAAAATTGTATATTCAATAAGAACAAGAATGCATGCAATAACTATGTAAATATAATAAATTGTTCGCAAAACTGTTACGACAAAAATGTTAAATAATATTTACAGAAAAATATGATATATTCGTTTGCATAAGAGAGAACCTGTAAGGACAGTACCAAACAACTTATTTTATGCACAAAAATTGTTAAACAAGTGCGAAAACCTACATGGATGTGTATATGTTCAGAATAAGGTTTTACTGCTTGCTTTAACCTCTGCCAAAAATTGGAGGCAACTAGGTTATACCGAAAGAAGACCATGGTTTGGTTTAAGGAGGCAATCCTTATATAAATAACAAACATTTCTAGTCGAATATAGATTGGGTATTGTCTTGCCTTTTGCACATCAGGATATTATAGGCGATGGAATCCCGTTTGGAACGCTTTGCCACTTTCATCAGGGTGCGAAGCGTCGCTTGCAGGACTTTTTTAACACCATATGGGATAGAGGCTCCTCCTGACCGTTGGCGCTTACTGGCTTCCGTGCTAACCAGGAATCACGTTCAGAAGAATGGCATCCTTCAGGGATCGGTTATGAAAGTAATGCTCTTCCTGATGGCGGTGAACGGAAATGCCAACTCAGTTCGCCTGCAGATACGGAAAAACGCTCCATGTTGACGACCTCTTTTACTACCATTTTGGTAAATATCTAACCGAGGTCGGCGGGATCATTCATCAGCGGTTATAACTCTGTATCTACGAGCTCGTTGAAGACCGTGTGCATCCACTTTTGCGGACAGCGGAGGGGACATAACCCGCCACAATTCTGCCTGGGTCGGGCGCGAGAACGGTACGTAGAAAAAGTGGGTTCTTCGGCCTTATATTTGATGAAAAGTTAAGGTGGCAGTCTGTGTTCAGGCAGAGTTCTTTTGTAAATGCAACCTATTTTAAAATTTTGTGTGACAGAAGCCTTATTTAGCATGTATTTCAGCTTGACAGAGGTGTTCTTCCTTAATTAGTCGGACTGCTTTTATTTTCGGATCGTACGTATTCAAACGATCCATCTATGTACAATGTAATTTTATTTGTTTTTCTTTTGATTTGTAGTTTGCTATTTTCCCATAGGCTGGAAAGGATGGTTTCCCCAAATAACAAGATCATATAATATTTCCCTATGTCCAAGAATGTCAGTCCGACTTTTTCTTGTTATTGTTGTATGCTCGTAAAATTTGATGTTCATATAATCAAAAACTATTGATTGTCAGATCATCGTGTTCTCATAATTAATAATAATATTCCATAGGTCTTATCCTAGCAGTGACATTAGTTATCTTTGAAATTTTCTTGCTTGTATCTACACTCTTCGGCTAATGTGGAAAACCAACTCGCTGAAAAATAAATATTAGCTATAAAACTATTTCGGTTTGATTATGATAGCTCTAAAACTTTTGGTTAAATATTATATATTATTAAATTCACTAATTTCGTGGTCCGCTTGACCAATTAATATATCACAATTAATTAAGGTTTTTAGGTGAGATAAAAAAGTCAATGGCACGAGCGGGATTCGAACCCACGATCTTCGGCTTGATACGCCTTGAAAAATGGCAAAAAGGAGGGAAACTCAAAAGGTGGTGTTGAGATGGGAGGTGTGTCCGAGTGGATCGAGGTCACGATAGCTCAAGTGGTAGAGCAGTGGCGTATCAAGCCGAAGATCGTGGGTTCGAATCCCGCTCGTGCCATTGACTTTTTTATCTCAACTAAAAACCTTAATTAATTGTGATTATATATTATATTATTATACATTATTTTAAGTATAAAATAATAAATTAAAGATACGTTTTATAAGAAAGTAAACGTAGATAACATGGAAGCGCTCAGACCTTTGAATTATAAAACTGAAAAGTGAATGACTCAACAGTATTTTTTTTATATATACTAATCGATAATTACATATCTTACTGTGAGATATTTATATCAAAATGTATTTCCTTTCAGCAAACGTTTTCAACTTCACAGCTGATTAACATATGAAATTACTATTGAATCGTGAACATTGAGCTTATTTTTATTTAGTTTCTATTGGTGAATTTTTTCTAAAGCTTCTCGTTTGAATAGAAAAATAAAGAGAGTTTAAAATGAATTAGCATAAAAACACAAGGAGTTGGAATAATCCCAAAACCAAATGCCAACTTTATAATAGATTTGGCCTTAGACTTATTAAAGTTCTAGTTGATCTTTTATTGAATGTTTCTGTAAGAGAAGATTTGAACTGAATATTTAAGAGTTTATAAAACAGTTTTAAATTGTTAATATAAAAAATATTTATATAAAAAATATTACTAAAGCAGCGTTGAACAAAAAGTTAATCAAGATTTCACTAAAATAGTCGGTAATTTTACACCATCTTGAAAAAGTTAAATTAGTGATATTTAGTACAAGTTTATACGTTGTTTGAGTTTATTCTTGTGAGGGAGAAAACAAAATTAAATCAATATTCTCCGATTTAAATTTTTAATTATTATTTTTCTATGCTTAAGTGATCATCAATTTGAGTCTTCATGGCATGCTGTAATCTCCTGGTAGTGAAGTTCTTTTTAGATTTTACTTACCGTGTTCGTTATATACGAGTCTAAACGTGTCGGAATGAAGGTGTCCAAAAAACTGCCCCGTGATCACTTCGGAATATTTCTGCACCATTTCGTGATACCTTTCGTTGTGAATTTTCGCCAAACCCATTCTCGGCGGTGCTCCTTGTCGTTCGTCGTAGCCGGGGCTTACGTGGCCTACCAGGTAAACCTGAAATAAGAAAAAAAGTTGAACAAAGCAGCGCTGGGCCTGCAAATGAACAGGCGGTTAAATTGAAAAAGAACATAGAGAAATTTGTCTGAACGGACTATGCTATTAATGAAACGGAAATGAACTCGTGAAATTCTCAACGGCTTTCCCCACTACAGGATTTTCCAATTAAACTTCTAAAATAGGGTTGGTTCTCCCTTTGTCCGTCGTTTTGTTTTTAATTTCTTATACTTCCTTTTTGTTATAAATATCTGAACAAGCGCAATAATGTAAGACATTATTATATGTGGTTAGAATGTTCTCGTCATCTAAAATCATTCCTAGCAATGAACACGTTTCATAATTTTACGATTAAAAATTTTTTATTAGACATTTTAATTTAAAATACAGTAAACAAGGCGAGAATTAGTAATTTGCCGCAATAGCAATCTACCTACCATATTTGAGACATGGCTATGGATAAATAGCCTCAGTAGTAATCGATAGCAAATTTGAATAAGCTTTCAATTAGTCATTTTCCACTTTGCCGGATTTCTCAACCGTTTGCGAGCAAAAACGTGCGTATGGAAAGAACCCATCACTCTCTGCCAATTTTCAAATTTTGAACCCCCATATTTTTGCAATATGTACACTTTACAACTTTTTTTCCGAGTACTTTTTCAAAATAGTATACAGGGATGCGACAATTCTTACTTTTTCTTACTTTGACCTTTTTGGGATGCAGAATGCTTCTGCAGTCGATGTTTACCTCATCAGGGAAATTCAACTTTTCCATCCCATTTCATATGTATTGTGTCAGTTTGGCTTCGAATAACGTATTGAAACAATAGGATTTTGTATGATAAAATGGGGAGAAAGAGTGTTCAGTTTTTCCATGAGCACTTAAGAAACTACATTTTTGCCCGAAAATCGCGAATAACTCGAAAACAGATGAGAAGGCAAGGGGAAAATTTTCTAAAAAATGTCACCTAGCCCAAGTCTGTGACTAAAAAGATTGAGAAAATATGCATTTACAAAATTGGCCATTTGACTGAATAGTCCGTCATTGACTTTTCTAAATATTTTTGTTGTTATTGCTGTTCTATTTGTTCTACTACCTGTGTTTCCTTTTAATAACTTTTATTCTTTTGTTTGTGGTTTTGTTGTTACTTTATTTTTTGCTTACTGTTTTTGTTACCTGATTTTTTCTGTGTTGTGTCTTTGTGTTTCTGTTTGTCGTTTAATGCTGCTTTTGTATTATTTTCAGATTTGTCGTCATCGTCATTGTATTTACTGCTGCTGATGATGATTTTGGTTGTTGTTTTAATTTTCTTACTCCTGTATTATATCTGCAATCTTCATAATTTTGATGTCTTTGTCCTCAAATCATCACATTTTCTTGTTCTTGTTGTAGCTGTACTTTCTACTGTGTTCTCCGAATCATATTGTTTTAGCATAGTTATTCCTGTATATTGTTCTTGGGTTTAAAATATTTTTGTTTTGTTTATTGTGCTATTCTTATTTTATTATTTTTGTCGTCATCGTCCTTTCTGTTGGTTTTTGCTATTCCTTTTCATTTCGTCATGTTCTTGTATCTTCTTCCTCTTAATTTTTTCTGTCTTTCGCTATCGTGTCTGCTGATTCTCTCGTTCTTGCTGTTTTTCACGTTCTCAACTTGTTCTAGTAAGTGAGTTTTCTTAATTATGTAATTCTTTCTTCTGAATTTGTCGTAATTGATTTTTTGTTTCTTGTCGATGATTAAACTAGTCGAAATGGCATCCGTTTTGCTTTATGTTCTTGGATCTGATGTCCTCTTGTTCTTGCTTTGTGTGGACGCGTGTTGTGGCACAAAAGTGTGTCGATTTGTCTCGTATGGCAGAATATGAGTCTGTTGATATATTGGTAAATATATTCTTTACCATTATATAATTTTCTTACAATAAGGATTTTAACCGATTTAAATTTACCTGCGGGGAAATGAAAAGAGTTTTTTTGATTTTTCAAACCCATATCACGTATAAAAATTAAATTGACACAATCAAGCAAATATCAGGCCCGTTTTTTCATTGAGAACTGCAAATAATGCGAAAAGTGGCGTACCAATATGACAAGAAAAGATTACAATATATACAAATGATGGAAAGCTTGAATACCGAAAAAGTCGTATTTCGCGATTTCGGATTTTTAGTATCATTCATATTTTTACAAAAAGTTGGGAAAAAGGCTGGAGATTTTCGTTTTTTATTCTCTTGAATTGGTTGATATTGAACAATTTGTGGTAAGAAATAAGTCTAAATAATATAAGCTAATGAAGCTGTCGCTGGTGATCCGGGTCGTCTAAACACGTGCACGTCAAGAGAAGGGTTGATAGGTTGATCCTTCTAAATCGCCGAAGGATAATACCAACTCGACCTGTAATCTGCTGTGCATAGTTGACATAAGGACACTTACATTTGGACCAAATGCCGCAATGTTTGGATGATTCTCGTTGTTTGTATACAGAGAGCGCGTATTAATGCTACTCAATGGGAAAATTGTCTATTTTTTCGATTTTTGGAGTAAACAAGGATATTTCATTGTATACACTACTGATATATGTCTCGTTTTCTATCTCCTTTTGTATGTTAAGTTTAATTATATTGATTAGAGGGATCTAGATATCGACCCCCACCATTGTGGATTAATTATTTAGTATAGTTAAGGGTGACTCAGAAATAACGTCCACTCCTCCTTATTGTGCGTAAACAAAATTTTATTATTGTATTTATACAACGTTGTAATAGATTTTGACGTTTAGTGATGATGTATGTTTAAGCGTGGATTTTTATTACAAGAGCGTTGATGGAAGAATAATGAGTACTCCATTACCCTACATGATGAATGAACGTGAATAAAGCCTCGTTTAACGACATAGTTGTTGTGAGAATGCTATCGAGAATGCAACTATCGTAAGCTCTATCAGCGTGTAACCTTAAAAGGTAAAGACTGTATTTGAGCCTAAACAATTGAACATCCGACATGCCTACGCCGCAACCAAACGACGGTTGTAACCGATCACCATGGCAGGCCTGAAATGATTAATTAAAATCAAACTACTCACATAGTTTCATCGATCATACAACGTATTACAACATATTCATACAACGTGATTTAACATCTCTACATTCTGCTTCCGAATCAATGAATTTTAAAAACTATGAGTGTAATAGATCGGTGTATATTTACCGATTTTACGGATATCGTAAGATGCGGTCTGCTGTGACGTAGGCTTTAGAAAAACATTTTCTTTATTGTGACAACGTTTCAATCTTTATTGAGATCATCTTCAGAGCCTGTGATCGTCAGATTCAGAGCATGGTGATTAAATACGTTAAAACATACATTAATTTAATAGAAATTCAATTAACGAATTATTTAGAGAGAACTGTGAATATATTTATATATAGCCTGTGCAATTGCAAAAATTGAATAATAACCTGCTATATTAGAATAATAATAAAATTAATTGAACATAAGTAAAAAATACTTTTCTGTTTTTCTTTTCTTTTAAGAAATAAAATTTTTAAAATTTATTGGAGATTTTGTTATAACAGTGCAACTAGTAGAATAAAATGAAGCTTACTAGAATTTTCGTATATAATGTACAAAATTAATAAAACAAATATTTTCACGAAATGTTTCGTAGCGGTTTTCGCAGTGTTATACGATTTAAAACCCGACTTACTGTTTCATCCTTCCGCAAGGATTTGGCGAGCAGCTGCTCGAGCCAAGCCCACTGACCGCCTGGGTCTTTGTCCACTTCGTTATCGGACGTCCAGAGGTTCGTGTTCAGCGCAATGACTTTTAGCTTTTTCGACTTCATTTCTATCATGTAGTATCCGCCTAAAAAACAAAAACAAATTTATTTTAATAATGAAATATAAAGCTTTATAAAGATGTGTGCAAAATTTGTCTAGGAGGTTAGCCTTCGTTAGTTATTTTTCTTATTGGGTTTATTATTACGTTCCATTTGTCATTAAAAGGTCAGGTTTGCATCAAAATTACTTTGAATTGACATAAAATCACTTTACCTACATTTATTAATAATAAAGATTATAATTAATTAAGGTTTTTATTTGAGATGAAAAAAAGTTAATGGCACGAGAGGGATTCGAACCCACGACCTTCGGCTAGATACGCCGCTGCTCTACCACCTGAGCTATCGTGACCTCGATCCACTCGGACATCAACAAATTAAGTTTGCTATTAAACTATAACCTCCTTAAATGTAAAAACTTCATGTCATAATATATTAATTATATAACTTTAATATTGTAAAAGTGGGAACATTATTTATAATGAACTTTCAAAGCAAGAGAATAATAATGTTTTAAAGATTATTTTGCGTCATGCAATGGTGTGGTACATGACGGTTGTGCGGAACTGTTGTCTTCTGCGCCGTATTTTTTACACAGCCCTGTTTCATTTATTTTAAAATAAACCGCCAGAATTGTAAATTTAATAAAAATCTTTGTATGATAAAACATTTTTTTTTGTTGGATCGTTTTTCTTGGTTGGGCTTCAAAAAATTAAACTTGGCAAGGAAGTCTGATGAACTAATCACCTTTTTATAAATGTTTATATGTATTTTCCTTATATACATCCTAACACATTTTGCTCATTCGGAGTGCGGTTGTTTACTGGGACAGCTCAGATTCCTTCCGCGAACTGTACTATATTTTATGCAGATCCATAAACAATTCTGACTTAGTTCTTTTTTAGATGGATTTTTTAAAGGTCACACAGGCCAGAAAGCCATTTTGGTCTAAAGAAGTTTACAGTGAAGGACTACCACAGCTGTAAGCTGTTAGGCTTCTGATCCCGCACAGCTGGGCAATTTAACGCTTCGTTAGCTATGCTAAACTCAACGATTCCTAGGTACGTGAACCCACTGCTGCTCCTAGAACGTGTAAAACACTACCTAGAGATTAGGTACTCACGTACATCACACGAGACCCGGCCACTTATCAGCCCGACATTCTTAATTGCAAGCGACGCTTTGAACACACTTTCATAGGTCCAGCATGTCCGAGTGGCATGAGATGACCCAGCGGCTTGCTTAATGGAGGCACTTTGTATAGTGTGTTTTAAATACTGGGATTAACATTCCTCGGGCGGAGTTTTTTCATTAATGAGGTGTCCTCTCCTCACACCCGATGCACAATGCGGGCCCGACCATTCGGAATGGACAAGCGGAGAGCGAGTTTGTCTCGGCCCTTAGGGGCTGGGACGCCTCTACACCAATGCTGCGGCGGTATCACTCTTCCATCGTATGCGGAGGTGCGTCAGCTCTCGTCTTTTGAATCGAAACGGCCGAATAGGCCAGGTGCGGATGTTAAAGATCCTCTAGTCTTGTGAGACGAGTACTCGGGAACGAAATGTCCTCTCCTAACAGCCAAAATAACACTGCTAGGTTCCTTCACCAGCTATTTAGACGAAGGTCTACTAGCTTCTTTACCCCTTAGAGTAGCTGCTCATTCCAACGCTCACCCTAACAACGTAATCGTCAGGACCTCAATGTATCTAACACCTGCTGAGACATCTGGTGGTCACGATATCCTCTACTGTTTTCCGAGGAATAACATCCATCGAGTAAGAAGAAGACCTGAGTGCTATTGGCGAGATGTGGGGATTGTACAGATGGTTAAGAGAATAACTTTAAACGCTTTCACCATGCCAAAGACGGCATCCAAAGGTTTACTTTTATCTCTCGCTAAAATAATACAAAAAATTAGCTACCTATGAGGCTTAAGAGGCTGACCACCCGTGCTCACCTCTTCAGGTTGCACACCACGCCATGTCACATTTTGCTAGATTGACATTGAAAAGTACAAAAATGGCTAAAGGCAACTCCTTCACACATTTCCTCAAAGGCCCCATCTGCATCATGGCCTTTGAGCGATGCAACAACGTCTTAAGTACCAATATGGTAATCACAGTTGTTTCAATGATAATTGGTATATGATGGCCATGATGTTCGTCGTTTAACGTGATCCACCAGAGGCAAGTGGCAATGGACAGAGAGGCGAATCGATCGCGCTGAACCTCCCGGTGTAAATACTTATGTACGTGAGATTTCCATTGTTAAGTAGCATCAACCCATAGTCGTTCATAATATATTCTATACGCCCTCCCCTGGAGTCTGTCGATTCCGACCTCCGGTATTGTGGGAGTTGAAATCTCCTACTATCAAGTAAGGGGCTGAGTAATTGGTCTATTAGTCTTATTATTTCTGTATAGTGCCACCTTCTGTCCGGGAGGTAGACGTAACATAAGACTATTTCTGTTGGTATTAATATTCTTGTTGCGATCGGCTGGATTTAACGTTAATTTTTCGAATTTGATATTTTCGTTTATATATAGCGGTACTCCATCATGTGCCCTTCCACCGGGTTCGAGTTGGACCTATTTGCTTACTTAGGAGAATCCCTTTATGGTAAGTTTTTTCCCCGGTAGATAAGTCTCTTTTACCGCTATTACTATAGGTTGTTTATTTCTAATTATACATTGTAACCCTTCTTCGTCGACCTCTAAATATAATGGATTTAATAAGTAAAACGAAGTTCACATCACAAACATCTCCTCGTGGCCACTTCATATGTCGCCGAGAATCGATTCCTGATTACACGACATTTGAAAAATGGCAAAAAGGAGCGAAAATTCGAAAAGTTTAGGTTCGATGGGGAGTTGGTGTCCGAGTAGATCGAAATCACGATAGATCAAGTGGCTCTCACAAGGTACTCACGAGCCGAAGGTCGTGGGTTCGAATCCCGCTTGTAAAGCTAACCATTTCAACCAAAATATTGCGTAAAAAGAATAATTAATTAAAAGAAATAATTTGGTCAAAATATAATGGACCACTAAATATAATAGATTGTGAACAATATGGAAAAAGTAATGAAAAGTCGTATGTCCTCTTTTACTGGACGCTGCCTTTTTTAGTAACACCGAAATACGACTCGAAATCCTTTGAGATAAAACAAAACTTAGAAAAAAATCTGTATTGCTCAATTAAAGGGGAAGTTTCCACTCAAATAAATTAATTGTTAAGTTTTACCTTTTGTAAAACTCAAAAGAGCCTCAGTCGGAAGCCAGTTTTTCCAGAGTTGTCCGAGCTTCACTATATCCGGTGGATCCGTGTGCCCGAGGACAGGGAATACAAACTGTGAATTGAAAGTCCTTTTTAAAAGCTCCGTAAGGTTGTTCATTGCGTCGAACTTTTCCTCTTGCTTTACAGAATCACTGATGCTGTCCCTGAAAAACACAAATAAAAAGTTTAAACACATCTTAGCATTCATTAAACATTTATTTCAGTCTCTCATGATATATAGTGAAACGTTTTTAAATAAATATTAGCTCTTTTGACCCTATTAGCATTCATTTCAATCCTATTATCAATTCTATATGAACCAGAACAAAAGAAAATTATATGGCGTTTGGTTCGTTTATTTTATTGGCGACCTTTTCCGAATATAATCCCGTTAATATTAATATTCTTCTCGTGCAGGGCGTAATTAACCGGTCTCCCCTGGGTTGTATTTGCTAAAATTCAAACACGTTGATTGCAATGCAAATCAAGCCTGAACATTTCGAAATGAAATACTTGAAACGTGAATGCTCTCCCTAACGACCCCCTCTTTCAAGCCCTTCTATTTTATATTTAAAACAACTTTTATTCAACTTACGCCAATTAGAACAACACCCTGACTAAAAAGCTTTGGAAAACTGTGAAAGCTGAATGACAAAAGCTGAACTTTGTGAAATGGAATCAAACCAGTTACGTAATTTTCGTAAATGTTTGAACAGACAGTTTATTCCATTAAATAAGCTATAAGATACAGTAAATAATTATCGAACTTTTTTTGTAGTAATTTATGTGTTTCAAGTTAACGGTCGACTTCGGAGTTGGAGAACTCGAACTTATGACATTTAATATAGGCCACACTCGTGTGACAAACGAACACCAGTTTTTAGGAGTTTTCCAATTGTATAGAACATTCCAGAAAGTCGGTAAGCTTTCTCAATTTTTCTCATCTTTCTTTAGTTTTAGAAATAGTTCAGTATAATTGAATAAAGGATAAGGTTACTATTTTGGTAGTACCACATGATAAGATCAATTGCCACATTAAATGAAGGAAAACAGTAATTTTACAAAACAATATTTCCGTTTTCCATTGTTAGTTATTATTAATTTGTGGGTTCAATCAAACCGGCTAACGATGGGATGATGATGGATACAAGAAACGGTTTTTTAACCTGAAGCACTGCTCGGCTCGATCTTTCTCCTAAGAAGCACTTGCTTTTGACAGTAGAAATGGTAAATGATGGAGTGAGTGTGGTGTTCAATCTTTTTAAAAAGATAGTTCCTACTCACAGTAAGGTGTTTTGCAACGATCCGGATTTCGAGCTTTTTAGCTCATCAACAGGTTGAAGGACTTTTAGACTAGACTTCTAGAAGTCCTTCAATCTGATGATGAGCTAAAAGGCTCGAAATCCGGATTGTTGCAAAACAACTTACTATGAGTAGGAACTATCTTTTTTAAAAAGGATTGGTTTTGACAGTGTTGCTACAATTTCTTCCACTGGATTTTTTCTGATTTTTTTGCGACAAACAATGGCACACCATATGGAGGGAGAAGGGAGGATGTTTATACGTTTCGTCATTTTAGTCGGATGGGTCTTTAACTTAGTAAAACAATTAGCATTTTGGAGAATGATGATGTAATAGTTCCACAAAAGTGGAAGGAAGTGGTACAAAGTATATCATCACAAAAGACTGGTCGTTTCAGAAATGTTTCGATGTATTGTCGAAGTAATTAGGCTATGCCCAGAGAAATTTCATCAAGGTGATTTGTACTTAAATTCAGAAAGATGGAAAAGTTTGAATAGGAAATAACAAGGTATTTAAATGAAACCGAAAAGGTATAAAATCAAATATTATAGTCACGTTGAAAGTAAAATTCATATGTATTTTGTCAACAACTGTTTTTTATATTAGATTGTTTTATAGTGTAGAACAAAGGCTAGTATTAGAAAAAGTCGTGCTATTCTAGAAAAAATACCGAATTATTAGAACAGTAAAAGAGAAATTTTAACTTTTGTTAGTGTTTTTGACTGCTGTACAAGTAAGTAAATATAATCAGACATCTAACATAATTTGTCTTAACTTAATTTTGATTGTTTGTTTGATAAGTAAAATGGTAGGTTAATCAGAATGAAAGTGCAATGTGCGAGTTAAAAATGTGATTTGAACTTATTTTATTTGAATAAAAGTTTTCTGGTTAACTGAGCAATAAAGATTTTTTAGACGTTTTGTAATAATACTTTTTTTAAATTTGCTTGGTAGGGGCATAATTTTGATATTTTAAACCCTTTTACAAATTCAATTTAAATCAAATTGCCTGTCACTTTCAACACATTCTTGATAGATACGTTTCAACGAAATATTTTTGAATATTTTTATTTTATTTTATAGAGTCTTAACTAGATCACGTCCTAAGTTATTTTCAACCTAATAGAGAGAAATTGTGACATTCCAAAAAAATATCCACCTATATTTTTATGAAAACAACTTTGTTTAAAAATATGGATTTCTAACATAGCTAAAAAGCCAATAAATCAGACGGGTATTCACTTCCAGTTAGGGATTTTTAATTTTTATTTATCTTTCATTTCATTTTTTATTTTATTTATTATGATTTATGCTTACATAGTGTGTAAATGCATTTATTGGCTTGTGTGTTTTATGTATGTTTGGGTGGGTTTGGTGTGGCACCCAAAATACCCATTAAGAATAGAGTTTTTATAAAAGAGTGGCTTTTTATTAAAACTGTTAGCTATATTTTATTGCAAAACTAAGTACGGTATCAAAGATAGTTTTTCACGTGGAATCTGCGGCGCTATTTGAATTTTAAAAGCTGGATCGCAATGCTGACCTGGTGATCAACTTTTTTTCAATGAAATTTCCTTTTTTTCTCAGATTGTAAAATTCCTTTCCCTAAAAAAAATGATACCTGAAATTCAAAAATTCATGAATTTGTACTGGAGATACTGAAGTTATCCTTCAGAACTCGGCAATTTCAATTTAACAAGTAACTGATTGTTGTTTAAAGTTGGGTTTAAGGAAAACAATAAAATCAATTTTCAATTAAATTTTCAATTTAAACCTTTTTAACTGCGATAAATTTACATTATTCAGTTCTGAGTGTTTGAGTTCCTGGTATCAATTTTATAGAATAGAAAGGACTTTTTCTTGGAAGAGGAATCTGTGAAAGTACAGTGCGAATGTGTAAGTTTGTAATGTGAAATCGCCTGGTGTGGAAGAGGTAAATATTGTATGAGATAACAACGTCCCTCTATTTCCATTGAAAATAACATAACTACGCCCCTTCACCCAAACGAGATAATTAAGTAATTATTTGAAAACATTTTTTGCTGTCTACACACAAATATCACCAATAATTTTACTATAGTTCATTATTTAACAAAATGTAAATCATGACGACGTACTGAAAGAAGACGGTAAAAAAACATTTGACAGACATTTATATAAAATAGCCTCAAATCCTTCTTGGATCTGCTGATTCGTCAATCCAAACTAGTTCGTTGAAATAAAATACAAACGTGTAAATTCCCATGCATATTTATCAGCAAAGGTTCATGAGGGGAGGTTAACGAGTATCCGGAAAATGGAAATTTTCCGCTGACACAGTTTTTTAATAAAGAAATATTGTGTTGTATATTAGCCATGAAAAATAAAAGCTGTGAGGCTAATAAAATGTTATTATGATTGGTCTTTAATATTTGAATTTTTAAAGTTTATTTTAATTGATATTTACATATCGTAAATAATTTTAAAAGGATTGTTTTATCTATGATTGAAGGACAACGTATTCATTTCACTTCAAGATTATGCTATAGGAGAATTGCAAATTTAGAGGGAACAAGGGAGTCTTGTTATTTCTACAGTTCAAGTCAACATAAATCTGAAATCGTTTGTTTTTGAACCTCCTCTGCTCAGAGACCTACATCGGTCTATTTCACAGGGGAAATTTGAAAATACAAATCCAGGGTGTATATTCGAAAGGAGGATGGAGCCGATCTTGGATTGGCGTCTGAAACTTTCAAGACACTCGTCAAACGGGCGTGGTTGCGGCTCGCGGAAAAGAAAGGCGTCGCGAACGCCTTAAAGATCCTGACTTTGACCGACTTAAGAAACGCCCTACTTTCTGAAGAAGAATGGAATAGTTTCGTCTCGGAGATTAAAAAACAAAATTACAAACGGAGCATCTCATACTCTCCGAGTTCTTACTATGAACGCCTTGTTGAATATTACGAAAGCGAAAACGTCAAAGATTCAATAATAATAGGATTTATTATTGTGTTTGTGATTATCTACTGTATTATTCCGATCGTCAGGCTCATACGGAAATCAGCTTACGTATGACTGTCATTTTTTAACAATAATACAAAATTTTAAAAGTAAATACTTTTGTTGTAGAATGAAAGCAAAAACACAATTCAGGATGTGGTCCGACAAAAAGAATCGTCAAAATTGCCATGTTCGAAAAACAGCTCATGCCATTCGTAAGTATATGTTAGAACTATAATAAAAGTCAATAACCTGTTTTCTTTAGTTTTTTTTTATACATACATCCGCCATTATAAAGCATGAAATATGTTAATTAGGGTAATGCACTAACTACTCTCAGATATCAACACAATGTCGGGTCAGCATAGTTCACCAACTCAGGGGCCAATACCCAGCACAGAAATTGTTCTGATAACCTAATAACATCCTGCTATAAAGAGGATAACGTAATAACATCAACTTACACTTTTTTTGACAAACAAATTATTTTAAATACTTTTGGCTGGTATATCATCCGCAATCAAAAATCACATTTCTTGTGCTGAACCGACACAATTTTGTTGAAATTCTCCAACGCTTCTCACTGAAGATGTCAGATTGCCGATACGCGTTTGAGTAATTCAACAAACACACGCGTGCCATATAATTTGAGATTTTGTTTATGACAAAGACCGTCTCAAGTTAATTAAATCGTAAATAAAAAGCTGCATATAAATATCGTGGTAAATTATTAAGAAGTTAACTTATTTAATTTTGTTAATAAATAATTATTATACTTTTATTTTGTTAAGTTAAAACTATACAGAGTGAAATGTAAAAACGACTCCATCCGACGGTCATCTGACCATGATATTTATATTTAGCATCGTTTACGAAAAAAATGGATACAATTTTTGTTTAAAGATTATTATTATTATATAAAAGACAATAATTAAACGTTTTTTCAGAATATTATCAGGTCATGATATTTCGGAATGCTTAAAAAGGTGCGCTTGCTGGGATGGACCAGCACAAAATAATACGAAAAATGTGACAAGTAATAATTAGATTATTTATACAAGATAAAACTATTATTGTTTAAAATTAAATAAAAATTAACGATGAAATGTTTAAACGTGTACTGCCCTAAAAGTTTCCCTTTGTAATTATTCAATCTTTCTTCTCTTTGTATATCACTATTGTGTAAGTTATTTTAAGCCAAAGTTCAAAGGTTGTAAGTTTATCTTTTGCGTAAAAATAACGTTTTTTTAGAAAATAAATATGACAATGTCACGTAAGCTGTCAAAACATAAAATAAAACTGACACCTTATAAATTTGGCATAAACAAACCAGAACGTTTTTCTTCTTTAACAGTTCTTTAGAGTTTTGTGATTATGATGATAATTGAGAGACACAATAATAATGTATCACATGTATGTTATAATTTATGATTAGATATTAGATTTACGATAGAATTGAAATGTATAGATTAAATTTTGTATTAAATCGATTGCTTATCTGTAGCAAATACACTCCAGCGTAGATCGCAGACGGAACTAGGACAATAAAAAAACATCTACATGTTGCCTATTTCCTCTTTAGTCATTCCAAGACTTCAGGGAGCACCTGAATATTTCTTACATGTTCAAGTTTTGTCTGCAATCTTATATGAAATAATGATTGTTAAAATATGCTTTTAACCCTTGTAACGAAAATGATTATCACCTGCACTGTCATAAAAACGGCAACCATGTTGATCAATCCCAGAAATGCGCTTTTCCTGGACCCACTTAGAACTTAGTGAGTTGTACAGATGTGTACATTAACCCAAAACAGTTTATTTATTAAGAAGGTTCTTGAAAAACCTACATTGAATGTGTGATGATATTAAAGTTATTAAGAATTGGAGATTCCTTGTTTGTACTAACCTTATTGCGTTTTAATAATAATAAATATTAAGTCACTACTTTCGTGGTCCGCTTGACCAATTTTAATACTTGACAATTAATTATGGTTTTTAGTCGAGATGAAAAAAAGTTAATGGCACGAGACGGATTCGAACCCACGACCTTCGGCTAGATACGCCGCTGCTCTACCACCTGAGCGTATCTAGCCGAAGGTCGTGGGTTCGATTCCTTCTCGTGCCATTAACTTTTTTCATCTCGACTAAAAACCTTAATTAATTGTCAAATAATAAATATTGATAATCAAAATTTCAACAATAGCAATAAAACATTTTCGGTTAGTTGGTATTATTGTTTGTGGCTTTTTCATTTGACAAGACCTTACATAAATATTAATTGGAAGAAATAATTTGTTAAATCAGACCACTAAATATAATGGATTTAATAAGTAAAATGAAATATAACTAACTTCACTAACAGTACCCCGTGGCTATTTCATTTGTCGCCGAAACTCGAAACCTGATTGCATATTTGAAAATTGTCCAAAAGGAGGGATAATTCGAAAAGTTGTAACTTGAGATGGGGAGTTGGTGTCCCAGTGGATCCAAGTTGCGATAGCTCAAGTGGTCGAGCAGCGGCGTATTGAGCTGAAGGTCGTGGGTTCGAATCCCGCTCGTGACGCTGGCTTTTTCATTTCAACCAAGACCTTATATAAAAAGATTAATTAATTGAAAGACATAATTTGGTCAATCAGACGATTAAATATAATGGATTATTGTTTTAGTTCATATTAGTTTGATTTCGTTTTTAGTTACTTTGTTATTGTTTATAGTTAATATTCAACGACATGAACTCTTTAATAAGTAACATTTATTTTGATTCAAGATTGTTCACTATCTACATACTATTAGCTATGAATTAATTTTTGTTATAGTTTGTTTTTTAGGTTATTTTTTTGTCCATATCTTAGTCGTCGTTTTTTGTTGTTGTTGCATATTGTTACTGAACAAGTACTGAACTGTATTATTGAATTATATATAAGTCGATTGGGGATTTTTCATTAATAACTATGAAATAATTATGGTTGTTACAGTTTGCTCTGTTTGGGTGTTATTATTATTGTTTGTTGTTACTGTTGTGGTTTTTTGTAGTTTTACTCCTGAAATTATTTTATTGATTGAAACTTTTTTTGGTTAGGGATTTTCCTCTGTTTACAAATATTCCCTATGGAGTTGATTATTTTAGAGTGTTACGAGTGCTGTTCGCTTGTTAGACTGTAGGCGTGTTGTTTTTTTAGTCGTCCCTTGCTGTTGTTGGTGTTGATGCTATTATAATTACTCAATTCTTTTAACTCTAGTATTGAATAAAATTTATTTTGATTTGGGATTTTTCTCTATCATCAAATTTTATCTATGAAATAATTGTGGTTGTTACACTTTGTTCTTTTTTTGAATTATTATTGTTTGTTTTTTAGACTGTTTGTTTGTTTGATTCCTTGTTGGCGTCGTCGTAGTTTATTTGTTAACGGTCATTGCTGTTTTTCTTGCTTATCTTGAAATATAAACTATGAAATAATTGTGGTCGTAAAGTTTATCCTTTTCAGGCTTATAATATTTGCTTAGTGTTGTTGTTGACATCGTTGTTGTCGATTTGTTTGTTGCCGAACCTCTATTAATAAATGAAATTTATTTTGAAAATATTTTTATTATTTTTAATATTAAAAAATAATATTGTATAAAATAAATCATCTGAAAATATTAATTATGAAATATTTCTGGTTATTACAGTTTGTTCTTTTATTACTGTTTATTTTCAAGACTATTTGCTAGTTTACGTATCGTCGTTGTTGCTGGTTATGTTAAATATTTTACGATCTGAACGGTATTAATATAAGGTATATTGTATGAACTTAATTTACGTGGACAGAAAGTCCAGACTCTTCTGCTATATTTTCTTAATTGAAAATTTGAAGAACTGTATCGTAAAGGGCAAACTTTCTTGGCTTGGACAAGATAAATAATGAGAAAATATTTACAATTAAAGCGTATTATTTGATATATAAGACTATTTAAGGTAGCAATAGTTATGCAACAAAATGAAAGGAATTCTTAAACTTTTCAAGTAAACGTTCATTGGTCGGGTCAGGATTCGTACATATTTGTTCTATAATCATAATTTTGACACTTTTATTAGTTTGGATTGGGCCGTGTTTTACATAGCCGTTTCATATTTATTCAGGCCGTTTGAGAACACGTTTCTCTTCTTGATTCCATTTGCTTTTCTCATAACCCGATTTATAGCCGTGGATGGCATTGTTTACAACGCGAGTTGTTTTGTTTTTTGCAATAAAACTTTCATGAAGAGTATGGCCATCTTTCACTCGGAAGGAACCACTCGGCAATAATAATCAAAACAAGATCATGGCCTTCGGCACGCACGGAATTTTATTTCTTCTTACCCGTTCGCCTTTATGAGGCGGCCATGTTTTGCATTTTAAACACGGCTGGGCATAAAAACCGTCAGAATGATCATGTTGTTATTAGCTTTAAAAAACAAAACAATAATCAGAATTATGTCGTTACACGTTTGGAAAACTTTTTTTAATGTGGTTTAATTCAACGTTTAAATTTCATCCGTTTTATTCTACTCTGCTGGACATTTTGTCATATTACTTATTTGGGTAAAATATTGATTTTAGTACGATACAATAGCTAATCCATTTTAAAAAGTTCAAAATTCAGCTACAATCGAACAAATTTATAATCATTCCGCTGTTTCAGGAAAACTTTTTGAAAGTTGTTATGATCAAGCATTTCCTTTTTTACTCTCGCGATATTGGAACTTAGATGTAATTTACATAAACTATCTGATCCAATCTAAACCTTTGTTGACAAAAATCATAAATTATTCAGAAATCGTGAGATGCGGTCTGGTGTGACGTAGGTTTCAGAAAAACATTTTCTTTATCATGCCAACGTTTCGATCTTTATTGAGATCATCTTCAGGTCCTGGGATTTACAAACATTATTTTATGATTTAACAAATACATGTAGGATGTGGCAAAAAGTGAATTTATACAATGCAAAATATATTTTTTATATATCAAAGTATTTCTATTCACTCAAAGACACACCAGACCGCATCTCACGATTGCTGAATAATTATCGATTAACGGTCACTAACTACCACACAAAAATCTAACATTGAGTTGAACACTTTATCCTCAAGACTATAATAGAATCGGCTGTTTCAAAATTTCTGCAGAAAATATTTAAATGAACTTTAAGTATTTTCGGTTTGTCTACTTTTTACTAGCTTCTAGCTGGAGATTTTAAGTCTTTAGAGTGTACAATTGAAAAAAACTCAGAATTCAACACCAATCAAACACACCTCTATAATGCAAGATTCCTTTGCTTGAAGGAAACGTCTTGAAAGTTGTTAAAAATAAAAATTTCCAGTCTGCCTACACTCCATGAAGACGTATTTCACCTGGGCAAATGAAGTTTGAAGTAATGCCTTTCGTCGTGTCAGGACCACAGATTATACTTTTGGAAATGTGCGGGAAAATAAGGAAGGGAGTGGGAGGTTCCCACCCTTGCCAGGACGCCTATAAAAAGGGCCATCAACCTGGCAAGGTATGGAAAACACTTCTCCATCGCCCCTTACCATCTCTCGCGTTTGTAACTTTCTTTCGAATTACACATTGTTCCTAGTCAACAGTACTATATGACTAGCCTTCATCCATGCCGTAACTTCTGACCGAGTAACACCTCCTCCTCCTCCTTGCTCTCTACGCAAGGTCTTCTCCTTTTTATTTTGCCAGAGGCCCTGTATATTCCATCTGGAAGAATGATGCCTCCTTCTTACTCTGTGCAGAAGGTTCTCTTTTCCCTGCCACGGATACTGCCACTCTCTTTTCTCAGGACTCGCTGTCGTCGGGCCCTTAGAACCCCAGGTCATCTCCCAGCCAAGGTTCGTTAGACAACACGAGGTAATCTACCTTTTTCAACATTCACTTCTGTGGCTGTTGGTAACGCAAGAGCCACTGACGACTCTGTACAAACAAAACTGTAGAAGAAGGGAGCCTGAATTCAAGTTATAGATGGCGGTATAAGAGAACACTCTTGCATTTCGACCTAAATATATATTTTTCTTTTAGTGACCTTTCTACTTTTGTTATTGCTCTTGAACTTAGGTTCCATAACCCGGTAAGACCAAATTCCTCG